GGGGGTGGCGGCGGCTTCGACCCCCCGCCCGCCTACCACGAGGTGGTGGACGCCGAGGTGAGGAGGGCGACCGTGACCCCGCGGGAGAGGCCAGCGGCTGGAGTCCCGCGGGCACGGGGGACACACCCCACTGGGCTGGGAGTGCGGAGGGCGTTTGGGGCGGGGGTTGGCTCGGAAACGGAGAGAATGGAGTCCCGGGCCCGGCGGGGGCGGAGGTCACCGGGCCGGGGTCAAGTGGGGAGAGGGACCCCTCCGGGAGGGGCTGAATGGGCCTTAAGGGACGCGGGGCAGGGCTGCGCGGCAGGGTGGGGAGGGGGTCTCGTGGGCTTCGGGCTCTGCACGCCGCAGGGCCGACCGGCCGGCCGGGGATGGGAAGGAGGGTCCAAGGCGTGCATCTGCGATGCGGGAGGATCGACGCGCTAGCCTGGAGTGTGTGATGGGGAGGGCGCGTGTGTTAGGGGTCAGAAATGGGATACTCGTAGGCCGGGCTGGGGGCGGCGATTTCGTGGCACCGGCTTTTAGCGAAGGAGTAGGGGAGGCACCAGGTCCAGGGTCTGAGAAGAAGTGGGATGGGCTAGCCAGAGTAGTGGCCTTTGCTAGGGGCAGAGGAGGACTGCTGGGGTTAGGAATGGGGTTGGGGTTTTAGCCAAGGGCCGGAAAGAGGGGAGGTTGGACAGGGTCTAAAAAATGAAGAGGGGCTGGTAGGGACCAGGGAGGAGAGGAATTGATATCAGGCAGGCGGGGGAGGGGGCTACGTGCAATAAGGTCTGGGTTGGGGGGACTGACGTTAATAAGGCCAGGTGGGGATTGGACTGAGGAGGTTAGAAGCACGAGGCCAGGTTGGGATTCAAAGCTGAAGAGGCCTGGAATTGAAGGATGAAGCTGGGACTAGGTCTGGGCAAGGAAAGTACTGGTCACAGGCAAGGTCAGGAATGAGGGAAAAGTAGAGGGGAAAAGGGATTGCAGTGATACCGAGGGTGCTGTGCAGAGGGACAGGGGACACAGTGGGACAGAAATGGGAGGAGTGGAGGCATCTGTTAAGGAGAAAGGGTTCCATCTAAGCGACTGGCTCTGATCACAGATCTCAAGTCTGGGTGGAGAAAATCAGGCCTGTTTGGATGGGGATGTGAGCAAAGACCATGGGGAAGAAAACCGACTTTAACTGCAATTTTAAAAGAGATCAACCTGGGGCGCCTGGGTGGCGCAGTCGGTTAAGCGTCCGACTTCAGCCAGGTCACGATCTCACGGTCCGTGAGTTCGAGCCCCGCGTCGGGCTCTGGGCTGATGGCTCAGAGCCTGGAGCCTGTTTCCCATTCTGTGTCTCCCTCTCTCTGACCCTCCCCCGTTCATGCTCTGTCTTTGTCTGTCCCATAAATAAATAAAAACGTTGAAAAAAAAATTAAAAAAAAAAAAAGAGATCAACCAGAAACACCAGTGCTTGTGAAATAATTGCTCTGCAGGAAGATGGCAGCTCACTTGAAGAATTTTGGTCAGATTCATTGAATAGTGCATTTCGGGGGTCAGGTAGAGAGCAGCTTGGCCCAATCCCAGAAGTGCGCAGATCTCACAGATCTCAGATTAGTGGGCTTGTGTTTTTAAAATAGAGACTTGAATTTGCATAATTCTTAATGAAGCTAAGCCCTCTGAAAGCATTTTCCCTAAATTATGTTATATCCTTTTAATTAACATGCTTTTGCAGCAGTTGCTCGGGCTGAAGTCACTTGGGGGGAGAAGGTGGCACTTCAGAAAAACCGGTTTCTTCACAAGATTTCTTAGGTTCCCAGACTTCCACACACGTGATTGGTCGCCCTTAATTAGCCTGTAACTCGGTTATATGATTGACTAGTGTGTGAAAGTGAAGATTGTTATTATTCCTGATTTGGGGAAATAATCCCACATTATTAAGTAAGTGTACTTAAATCACTTTAAGAAATAAGCTTCTCTTTGCAAGTCCCCATCACTCCCCTAGTTGCTCATTCCAGTTTTGACCCAGTTTTGCAATCAAGGAGAAGGCCGTTGCTTTTTCTGCAAGTATTTGTATAACTATGATGTTCATTGTATCTTCATTTTGTGAGGAATCTTACTCTTTGTTTCTTTTGTCACACCTTGTAATTGTCTGTAATTGAAAAATCAAATTAAACGATGCTTGGTGGTACCTCACCATCAGCTGTACCGTCCATAGATTTAAGTGCAAAGAAATGGGACTGGCATCTTTTCACATGAATGACAGGCAGAGGAGTTTGATTTTAAGTAAAATCCAGGGAATCTTTATCTTTTCCAAGAATTGTGTCAAGTTTTCATTTCCTCTTGACCCCGGGGATTTTTGGCCTGGGGAGGCCACATCATTTGATTTGGAGAGTTCAGGAGGGGCTCCTGGCTGAGGTTGCTTTACCCAGAAGCATATTGGCGGGCTACGAGCAGACACCTTTGCAGGCACACGGGAGCCTGGTGAGAACGTTTAACCCAATTTCTGCCTCTAGTTTTACAAATCTTCTGCCTGTCACCTGTGCGGCTAGCTGGGTGGTCATCCTTGCTGTAGACAGTAGGAAACTGAGGCTTTTGATCCTGGGAAGGATGCTGATTGTTGTTGAGCATCTCCAGCATGTCAGGCACTGTCGTAGACGCTTTACTATACATTCTTTTAGTCCTCAGTGAGGTCGTTAATAACATCACTGTTTGAGAGAGACGATTAGTTCGTGGCAGTCTCTTGAACCTGGTGCCCTTAGGGCTTCAGAGACAGTGTGCTTTTTTTACTCTGCTCTCCTCATGGTTTTAGGATTGGCTTCATTTTAGCATAAGAAAGAAAAATTAAGAGGGAAAAAGACGATTTTGAGGCTGGGGAACCAGGCTAGGAATGATGGCAAGCACTGAATCAAGGCATTAGGAGTAGAATAATGGGTGGAATGAAAGGATCACAGATCTTTAAGGCGGAAGACTTCAGAAATTAAGAATTTGTTCAGCTCTTTTGTTTAAACAAACAGCCTGGCGGGGCCCAAAGGGGAAGTGACTTGTCCCCACAGAACCAGTTCATGGAAGAAACGGATCTAGAACTCAGGCCTTCTCACTCACTGCATGGCCCGTGCAATGTCTCACTCCCACTGCCTTCCTTTCAGATGAAGGGTCAGGCTGCAGCAGTGGCTTAATGGGGAGGAAGGCAAGGGAAGTGTAACAAACTGGCTGACGTTCATCAGCTCTTATAGAACCTACCTGTTCTGTTTCTTAAAAAATGAGTACCTTATTTTAAATTCTGTAAAGTTATTTTTGGTGCACAGGAAATTTCAGTTTTAGTGTCTTCTTCAGAACGTTTTGGGGATAAACAGATTAAATTATAAACGTTAAAAAAGAAAAAAAGGATTACATTTGTTTTTGTAGTTTGGAAACAGGCAGTAAACATTCAGTACCTTCAGTGTCCCCTGGGGGAGGGGGGCGCGTGGGAGTAGATAGTGAAGGTGAAGGTTACATTCTAGTGGCTCTCAGTGCAAGCCTCTCATTTTACAAGAAGCGACTTCCCAAGGTCATGTAGTTAGTTAGGGAAATCAGTTTAGTAATTTGGGCCCATGCTGTAATTAGGATTTGGTTTAAAAATTAAATTTTGGAAAATAAAAGCAGTTAACTTCTGGTTCAGGAGAAGCAAGAAGAATGCAGATAAAAAACACCCAGATAGCTAACAGGGGGCAAAAACAAAAAACAAACAAACAAACAAACAAAAAACCCACCCAGATATGTAGCAGAACACATAAAACTGCTCAGAAAGCCACCTTTGCCGTATCCTCCAATTAAGTAAAGGTGTTGCTTCACACATGTTGTATTTGGTCGCTACGAGTATTGTTGGATACGTGTAATTCATGGGCTCAGTGTCTGGAAGGGACTTTGAGAAACTACCCAGTTTTGATTCTGAATAGCATTACTTCAAAACCTGTCGAAGGCAGGTAAGAGTTTGTTCTATTATTTAGGAAAATGGAATCTCACATCTGCCCTAAGTAACTTATCCAGATGTTTATCACCCCCCACTCAGAATTTTTTCCTGTTTCTTACTCTGATGGCCACTGCTAAGGGCATGCCCTCTGGTTCCCTCCTTCCCAGAGCTGGGAGAATCTCTCTCTTAAGCATTGTGATCCTTGATCTGGTCCATGGGATCAGTAGGAATCAACCAGGTGCTGTTGTGGGCATTTGAGACAATTGAACAATTGCGATACGTACCCTATTCATTATTGTCTTATTTTTTAGAAAATACTGAAAATGGAATTTTTTTTTGTAAGGAGAAATCAGCTAACAGCAAGAAATACCTTTCTTCACTGCCTAGTTCTGAGATAATATTCCCAGAAGTGACATTTAATACTGTGATCTGACAAATATTGGGAAATTCTTATTTTGTTCCTTTTTTAATGTGGACCTAACTTCTGGGGGTATTTTGTGAAAAGTATTTGCAAGATTTCTGTCTGTCTTCCTTTCTTTTCTTTTCTTTTCTTTTCTTTTCTTTTCTTTCTTATTAAAGCCCCACAGTTGGTCCTGTTCCAGTATATCTAAATCACATTAATTTGTAGTTCTTTAACTTACCTCATTTCTGCCTCTCTTTTTTCCTTTGATAGTATGT